GGATTTTGAATGCTGTTTGACGATCAGATACAAATGTCAATCATTTTAATGTTAAAAAATCATATTCCTGACATGGTTATATTCCAGCTATATTACTATAAACAAAACTATATATCTTAAATTTGATAACTAACGGTGACTGTGCCATGCATGGCTTGTTGTTTTGATATATGATATGTAGGTACCTTGAGTGGATTGCTGTCAAATTCATGACAATATCTTCAAATCTCTTTTTTTAGTACTCTTTTGGAATGACCTCAGTGTGTGCGTCATGTACATTTGACATTATGGGACCTTGATGCACGTCATTTTGTTTTCCAGATCAGATTCGAAATGGCCGACTGACGGCCATTTTGTATTAATGAATGTGGTTCTAGTGCTGTATCTCTGATTGTTCAAATTTTAAATATTCATCATACATCATCTAATAGATATATATATTGGTTTGACCATCCAATTCAAAATGGCCGAATTTGTGCTAAAAATCAACAAAAATCAAGCATTTCTGGCATTCCGGAACTGGATCTTGGTTGTTAATGAATGAATTTTGTCAAAGAACATTGTTGGTTGTTGATGCACATCATTTTGTTTTTCAGTTTGGATTAAAAATGGTCCATTTGCATCCATTTTGTTTTTATGAACGCGGTTCTAGAGCCATATCTCTGACATGCTTTAACTGATTATGTTCAAATTTTATATATTCATTATATATCATGTCATAGATATACAGATGTACATGTATTGGTTTGACAATTCGATTCAAAATGGCTGACCCATGTCCATTTTGTTTTAATTAATGTTGTTCCAGAGCAATATCTCTCAATATGGACTCATACTATATTACTATAAATAAAACTACATAACTTAAATTTGATAACTAACTGGGACTGTGCCATACATGGCTTGTTGGCAATCATTTTTGGTAAAAAAAATTATATTCTCAACTTCTTTGATAAAGATTTTTAGAATTGCCGATTGTTATGATTTTGGATAAATTTATGTTCACAAAATGAAGTTTTGTTTAATTGTGATATTATAATTATCTCCTACATCCAATCAATGGCTTTAATTCACTTTGCACACAGAACTTCATTCTTATACTGTGGTACAGATTGCTTGTGAAATATGCATCACTAACAGCGCAGCTATATCAGCTGAAAGGTTGCTGCTTGTTTTATTTCAAAAACTTTGTCTATATTTTGTATCTCTATTTTTGATCAAGACTTGCAAATGATTGAAAAATATTTGTTCCTAGCTCACAAATGCATCATTAATAATATGTGTCACAGCATGAATGTTCCGTTTTTTAAAATGTTTCTACTTCTCGTTTTAAATAATACACCAGAAGCATTTTTTTTCTGTTATAAACTTCCTGTCAATTATTTTACTAGCAGGTGGAAAATAATCCACACTACATGTATGTCTTGCATATCATAATATATATTATTTATGTTCATCCGCAGGGAAAATATTGCATCCTGGAGTCTGATGAATTCTGGTCTGTGAAGTTAGCGCTAGTTTATAATCTTGATCCCATTACTATTATGGTAAAACCTTTAACGGTGAAAGCAGCTGGTGATTGGTCAACTCATCAAACGTTCCACAGTAATTCTCGCAAAAATAACATCCATAATAATGAGATGTGGAAATACTTCACAGGTAGGGATTTTACTCAATTTACTGAATATTAAAATTAAATATTTTGCTGCCCTACTGTGCTTGACATGTTAATATCAGCAGACTTACTTTGTTCTTTCAATGTTGTCGAAACATTATTTCATGATAATAAAAATACATAATATATTATTATACCAATAGATTTCATCATCACCAGTTTCAAACTGCTTGTCAATTCACCCCCAGAAATCCTACTGTTAAAATTTTACCCATATTAATTTCAGACGTTAGAAAGAGTTGCTTGGCTGATAATATCCATCAAATTGATACATGAAAATATATGTGTTAAATTTGCGAAAAAAAATGTATTTATTAGTGAAATTGTTGAGAAACAGACTAGACATGTGAACTAGAACAGGATGTGCATACTACTAATGTAACAATAAGTATTAAATTGATGCTGTTTTCAATATCAAATGATTTTTCCAAAATTAGTCTTTATGTTATAGTATTAATTTTTTTACATTTCAGCTGTCATTGAGTGTGAGAAACCAGAAGAAGTCACTCGTAAAGTCTCCTGGATCCTTAATGAGTTTATTCTTCCTAATTATTTTGATGCAAGTGAAGTGGAGAACCCATACTGTGTGGAAATGAATAGAACACCGAGGGCAGTGCCACAGACTGTCTCGCATACTCCACACCGACATCCACATCTTTCAAATTCAGCCTACTTAGAAGATGGGCCTTGTGCACGCAGACACTCTACAGTGAGTGTGAAACGAGAGACTGTGGTCTGACTTACAAAAGACAGGTGTTATATGTTGCCATAGTAATGTAAAACAATAGTTAAATACCAACCATGTGCAAGATTGGTATTGATAAACAATGATTTGGCTACAACCCATTGCGCTCTCCCAGTGACAATCATGAATTATCTATAGTAATTAGTTTTGGTAGTGTCCTTATTTCTATATCAAAGGCACCATCTTTGTTAACATGAGACGTGTATCTCACACGTGCATGGCGCTACAACCACTGCCTTTTAAATTAAGCTTATACTCAAATAATTCTACAATTTCCTAACACATCATGTGCTATATCCACAGATACTGTAGAATACTTTATTTCCGCTTAGAATTTATTTTCGCTATTTTTGCTGAAGGGATGTTTCAGTGAAAATAAAATCCAGCGAATATACTTTTTTTCTTTTGGCTCACATTCAACTCATCAAAAATCAGTGAAAATAAATTCCATACACTACACTTAAAAAAATTTTTCAGCGAAAATTAATTCCAGCCAAAATACATTATTTCACAGTATGTGGAATGTAAAAAGCAATGTGTTAAATAAGAAAAACACTATATATTCCTGACATAAACAAACATAGACCATAAATTCTGATACCGAGTAGACAAGTTTGTTGGTCATGCTGAAATATACATCAATGTGCCGCATATCAATGAGTATACATCATTAAAAAAGCTACAATTAATGCATTAGTAATACAAGACTAATTTTCAAAAACCTTCAAACAGGCAATAACCATAAATGTCTTGTTATATATTTGTAACCATTTAGTGTAGTGGGGTGTGCAAGTCATTGGTAAACTGGATTTTATGGCTGCAGTGGTCAATATATAAATTCCATGAAGTCTGCATGGTTAGGAGTAACAGAGCATGAAATTACTTTAGGGGACCAACAAAAGTTTTTTTAAGTCACAAATTATATACAAGAAAAGCATGCAGTATTTAGATGTGTGTAAATTCTGATTTGCGCTCAGATTATAATAATGTAAACTGCACGTTTTGAAAGAAGAGATGTAACATTACAATGCAAACTGTAAACCCACATATCAATCAGTTTTATAAAGTACAAGACTGAATTCCTTTCATGAGATTACCGTAGCTTGCATGTAAAACACATAAGATTATCAGTCAGATTTTCTGTCATATGAGACATTTTTATTTACTGTTGCTGACTGGTTTACTATGCGCATTTCAAGATCTTTACGCAATTGAAAAAAGTTGAGTCAAAACAACCTTGAGGAGATATCAAACTAATAGTGAGGGACACGTTGAATATCGATAGAAGATTACATTCAAATTTATTTCATCCAATCATATAAATGACAAATGCCAAAGTTATCCAAAAAAATTAAACAAAATGTTTCTACTGATGCAGTGTCACGTCAGATGACTAGTAAATGCATGTATTTCGTCAAACAAATTACCATCTTATCACATAACAATGTTGAGAAGCACATAACAAACCAGTCAGCAACTTGGATTGCAATGTTGCTGTTTTGGTGTCTCAAACAATATGGTGGCAAAAATATTATTGATTTTAATTTAAATCACTTATAATAATTACAAATTAGTCTTTGAATATCTAGTGTATTATTGCTGTATACTGTAAAATACTTTATTGAAGGAGTGATTCAGTGAAAATAAATTATTTTACAGTATAGTAATATTAAATTGAAACCTGTATATTGATGTACACTCTGAGTAGAAATGCATCACCTGGATTATTTATTTCAAGTCATCTGAAATAATTTGAAATATCATTATGTCTACAATGAATCTTTAGCATTGTCACTATGTTGCACAGAACTGCTTTCAATGGGTATGATTGATTGTTGCGCGTACGAATAATTCTCCTAGCACGGAAGCTAGTACTTTTGGAAGCTCTTCTAATGGAGGAATATTATACAAATAATTTCTATTTTCTGTATTATACAATTCCATCACTTTTCATGATGCATGCTTCACAATATGATGCTTTCACATTTATGTCATTTATACCATTCATCACTGCAATACACTGAGCACACAAGGAGAGCTAAGGGGTCTGTCACATCCATTTCACTAATATCTTGCATATCTCAGTCTAATTACTTATCAAATTGTTGCCGCTGTGTATACTATTTCATAATATACATAAATTGATTATTTACTTAATCTTGAAACAAAAATAATATTGATATAACATACACCACTGTAAGTACGGTATATATAAATATAATAGTTTTCATCCAGTGATATGAAATTACATATAATCGATGCCATACAAATTGAATCTTTGTTCTTCATTCGTGAGTGTCAATTTTTTTTAGCTTCGCTGTTGACTTTGTCGAGCGGAGCTTATCATATGAGTGATTGTCCGTCGGCGTCCAGCGTCCGTCATCCGTGTCAATGTTTTACTTTTTCGACTTCTTCTTGAAAACTACAAGTCTGAATGCTTTGATACTTGTTGTATATGTACCTTGGGTAGACCTCTCTTAGATTTGTTCATTTCATGATGATATCTTCAATTCTCTAATTTTGGTGAATATTTTTGTCATTTTTGGTAAAAAGTGATATTTTCAACTTCTTGTTAAAAACGGCAAGTCCAATTGCTTTGATATTACATATATAGATACTACATGTGGACAACTCTCAAATTTGTTCATTTTTGTAATGATATCTTTAATTCTCCAA